AAGCCATGGATAAAGCCAAAAAAAAACCACCTTTATTGGAGTGCGCTATCCACATTTGACGGAAAAAAAAAAATTATATGGGCGAAATTTAAATCCTTTCTCAGTCAAAAAAATGACAAACACCCCAATTTGGATGATCCCCTTTTCAATAAAAAAAACCATGATGACATTGAACACAGGACATGGCTTGACAAAAAAAAATTTATAGACAAATACAGCCACCAAATAATTTGGGATAAAAAAAATGTGGGGTATTATATATAAAAAATCATAMATAAACCAAAAAAAAAAACTAAGATAACTCCAGGCAATCTACCTTGACCATAAAAAAAAWTTTTAATGTAATTTTATTTCTTGTAAGATTCCAAAGAAAAAAAAAAGGTTGAAAAGGCACTAACTAACAACAGTCTACAGAAAAAAATTATGCAGGCATCCCCCTTATCGCAAACCAGTTGCTTAAAAAAATTCCATTCCTGCCTAAACCACTTCTCTCCAAAAATGAAAAAAAATTCATATGGAGGGATGTATTGCAGGTATGACCAAATGAAAAAAATTATCAGGTCAAAGTCTTGAGGGCCAATCAGGAAAAGAAAAAAAGGAAACTGCACTTGCTGCATTTGCTAACTTGTATGCAAAAAAAATGGGCACAAATACAAAAAAAAATACAGTAAATGTGTGAAAAAAAGCGCAGCACTTTGCACTATTTACTGCTAATTGAAGCTAAAAAAACAATAGAAAGCAATAGACTTAGCATAATTTAGCAGTAAAAAAAACATGTAATTTGCACACTTTGGGTACATTGTATAACAAAAAAAAATTAATCCTTCAGGCAGATACTTGCAATTCTTCATTTTAAAAAAAACTTACAACGAGATGTCAAAACAAGAAATAAWGATGGAAAAAAAAGGATTAAAGTTGTATATCCTAAATTTAAGAATGGGCAAGCAACAGTAAGAAATGTTAGAGTTCARCAAAACTTTGGTAAAAAAAAAACAAAATTTCAATTCAGTATAATATTTGAGTGAACTACAAAAAAAATTAAAATAATAGGTCAGACAATCATGAAAAAGCAGAAAAAAAACGTGAGCCAAAGTCTAATAAGACTGAAACACTAAATTTCAAAATTTTGGTTTTCCTCCTTAGATTATGTTGATGAACTTTTAAAAAAATATTGTATGCTTACAAAGGCAGACCTTAATGATGCAGAAAAAAAGTTGAAAGACATGACGCCAGAGTCACTCACTTCGTCTAAAAAAAAAGAGTCCAGGGAGGATGCCGTAGAAAGAAAGGACAGAAAAAAAATTTATGACATACATGGCAATTCGTGATGTGCCACCAAAAAAAACAGGTTCATATTTTTCTTACATAAAATGCATTTTAACAAAAAAAATTTCCAAATACATCTATAACATGATCAAATATATAAAAAAAAACTTGTACACATACTAATACTATACATGTACCAGTATTAAAAAAAATATTTCATTAGGAATAATATTGCCAATGAGGGAATAAAAAAAAAGATCAAGACACAAGTGTATTGAATATGCAGTAGTAAAAAAAAAAACTTTCCACTTGTACCTTCACAGTTGCACAAGTTGAAAAAAAAGAGAGGGAAGCGCAAGAGGCTGCTCAAGCCACAAGTCAAAAAAAGG